AGAAAGAGAATTTTACGCGGATTCCACATATCACCTTATTTTACAATGATGACCTTTGCTCCACTTTATGGTCGCAATTCTTTCTTACCAACTTTTAAAATTAGATAATTGTAAAAGTTGGTAATGGATTTGGCCACCACGGACGAAGGAAAGGTCATCATTGTAGAATCAGGTGATATGTGGAATCCGCGTAAAATTCTCTTTCTAGTCCATGTTTCTTTGTTTTCCGAAAAAGTTTGCAAAGGCGAAATATCGGGGCTTCGGAAAAACATCTATGAAAAATCGAAGTTTAAGGTTAAAAATCTGTCGTTTGCGGAGATCTATCGAAAATGGAATCCTGCTTCAAGCTACTGTACCAGAAAAATTTTTTAATTGACGGAAGCGGCTGAATTTCAAGATAGCTTTGGAAAAAGGTTTTCCGAAAAATCTTGGAAAATTCGCGGTTCTGGGTCTTTTCCTTCTTTCCTGTGCACTGCCGAATCTTCATATATGCGTTATTCCACGCAGAATGAAATTCTGCGTCGAATGACATATGATTCGATGGGTTTTAAAAGAAAAATTTTCAGGTTTTTCCGAGATGCACTGACCGTTTTTAACAAGAGGCCCCGAGTGTTTTCCATCATTTCCCAAAAAATTCGACAAAGATTCAGGATAGTGCTCAGGGCCTACTTCACGAAACCGTAGAGAGCCCTTCAAACGGACCACTTTCGGTTGCAGAAACCTGTTTGCAAAACGGCCGATGACGTTTTGTCTATGTCTAAAGAATAAACTATTTCTGTAGAACGCTTAACTCAAACAAGTTCGAATTTTTATCATAGATAGTACTCATCCCAAGACAGCTCTGGTAAAAATTTAAGCTAATTAGCATTTTATTTAACGGAATCATAGCGTAAGCAAAATTTTCGACTGGAAAATCGCTTTTTTTCCGTATTTTACGACCTTTTCTGCAAGCGCTCTACCATCGAGAGAAAGTACTTTGACAAATGTTTCTCAAATTTTCAGACCAGATAGAGAAATGTGTCCGAACTAAGTTGCTCAATGACCTTTGGAAAAAAATGTCAAGAGACAAAAATGTTCAGGACACATTTCTCTATCTGGTCTGAAAATTTGAGAAACATTTGCCAAAGTTCATTGAGCAACGTAGTTCGCCCCTATCGTGCACTGCCTCTTAAGTTCTTTTAATCGCAACCAGAAACAGTCTGATACTGTAATTGTTTTCATGAGGTTTTCCACTATTTGGCCAGAAATAAATATTGTCACCAGATTTTTTGTAGTCAGTTGCATATGAGTGACTCTGGTGATTTTTGTACCGTTCTACTTCAGCTCATGGACCTGTCTGGTTCTCGGTTAATACTAACATTTCCAGATTATACGTATTTGGACATCTTGGCGAATGAGCGACTCACGAGAGAACCTTTCCAGGTGTTCGACCGCTTCGCGACTAAAATTTTCGACTGGAAAATCGCTTTTTTTCCGTATTTTACGATCTTTTCTGCAAGCGCTCTAGCATCGAGGGAAAACATTTGGAAAAAAATGTCAAGAGACAAAAAGATTCAGGACACATTTCTCTATCTGGTCTGAAAATTTGAGAAACATTTGTCAAGAAAGGGATGAAAAGTAGAGTAGTATGAAAAGTATGAAAGGGATGAAAGGCATGAAAAGTACGAAAGGCATGAAAAATATGAAAGGCATGAAAAGTATAATAGCATGAAAAGTTTGAAAGGGATGAAAAGTATGAAAAGGATGAAAAGTATGAAAAGATATCGTGATAACCCATGTTGCACTTCTTCTACCGCCGGTTACCGACCGGTCTATAGATTACCGCTGGTTAACCGTACCGTTTGATATAACCATCGGTTTAGCGACGGTTTTTTCTTCCACTGACGATTACCGCGAGGTATTTTTCAGACCACGGTAAAAAAAAAAACGCTGGTAAACCGTTTTGACACATTCACCTTTTTGTTTTGCGGTTGGCAGTCTATATATCATGAAAAACGCGTAACTGTGCTAGCGGAATCTCTGTGCGTTAGCGTTTTTTCTCTTTTTGTCTATCCTATAATTTTCGAAAAGAATATCGTAGAATCCTGGAAAGCGTCTTGTTTTGTAGAATGAAGTGCGTTCTTCAAAATCCACTAATAGCTAAATTCGAAATAATTGACGACTTTTCGGTTACAATCGAAATACTAAAGGCCCTAAAAACAAAAGACAATGTTTTTGGGGCTCTTCGTATTTTAAGCACAGCATAAAAAACGTGAACTATTTTGAACTGAGCTATTAGTGAATTTTGAAGAACGCACTTCATTCTACAAAACAAGACGCTTTCCAGGATTCTACGATATTCTTTTCGAAAATTATAGGATAGACGAAAAGAGAAAAAACGCTAACGCACAGAGATTCCGGTAGCAGAGTTACGCGTTTTTCACGATATCTAAACATCTAGTAACGCAGAAAAGTCAAAAGACTTTGACTTTTTTCAGACTAAACTTTCTTTATCAGATTATAGAGACTCGTCGAAGTTTGCACTTCGACTTGAGTCAAGTTTTTCCCGTTCGAGTATTGCGGTGCATGCGCACTACAAAAAAAACGAAAGCTGAAAGCTAGATTCGAGCTCCTGTGCTATTTGCGCACACTAACAAAATACCAGTTGATACTGTCGGTACAGCCGACCGATATACCGTGCGGTAATTTCAGTTCCGCTGGTAGTATACCGAGGAATGTAACGGACTGATACCGGAGGGGTAACGGGGTGGTATTTAACCGATTTTGATGACATGGGAAGGAAACGTGAAGAAAACACCTCAATTTTCGGCAGTGACGTAACAATTTCAATCTTTTCGTTATAGTGATTTGATAAATATTAAAAATGTCGCTAAATTTAAGTAATAATTTTACTGACGATGGAAGTGATTCAGAAGAGCCGTCACTTGTTCGTCATATTAAATTTTTTCTATTCTTGCCAATTGAAATCCCCTCAATTATATGTGCACTCGGTATTATTTATTATTATGTAACTCAACGTGAATTACGTCGTTTAAATAACCATTCCATTATTTTTCTACTTATTGGCTCATTTTTAATGATCACCACCGAGTTGCCCATTACTCTCAATTTTCTCTTAACTGGATACGTTCTACCATCACGACCTGCCTTTTGTCTATTTTGGATATTCTATAATTTTTCCTTACAATCATGTAATTTAATGTTAATGGCTTGGACATCGATAGAGCGACATTTATTGATATTTCATCAACATCTGATGCAGACAAAATGGGGAAAAATTAAATATCATTATTTGCCGTTAATCGTTTGTGTTACATATATTCCTATATTTTATTTGTACTTTGTGATATTTTACCCAAACTGCACAAACTCATTTGATTATCATTCTCTCGTTTGTGGTGGACCATGCTACAATTACGTACCGACAATAGCAACTGTCGATTGGGGAATCAACATTCTTTTTCCATCAGTACTCACACCCGTGTTTAGTCTGGGACTACTCCTGCGAGTCCTATATCAACAAAAAAAAGTTCGAAGAACATTTCAATGGCGAAACAATCGAAAAATGGTTATACAACTGTTGGCAATTGCTTCACTCTATTCTTTGTTCTGGATACCGTTAGCCATTTTATCCATTATTCGAACATTTTATATACCAACATTTGCGGATGTGGTTACAACATATTATTTCTATTATACACCCTATTTAGTACAAATGTTATTACCATTTGTTTGTTTGGCTTGTTTGCCTCAACTAATAAGAAAATGTTCATGGAACAGAAATAAGAGAATTAGACCGGTACCAATCGATACGGCAGCTCTACCTACCATGGCACAAGGGATGAAAGACTTTTAAACTGCTAGTTTGCGTTTTCTGAAGTTTTCTTTATTAAACTTTAATCATTTTACTAAATCTTCTATTGTCATATATGGGTTTAAATGAGTAGACAGTAGAATTAAATTTCGTCAAAAATTCGAAAGTCTCATAGATTACATAATTATAGTGCATTATATTCCAATTGTAGCTCCAAAAACAACTTTCTTCGTACTACCCTTCGTTCAACAGTGTTGTAGAATTCAAGAAGACAATGAAACGTAGAGGGTTGTGTGTAAATTTTATCGTAGTTGCTGCAGAACATTGAATAAGTTCTTGGAACTCACGATCAATAATTCCGGTGCCAATTTGTCTTGGTGTCGTCTACTTCGGAAAAGACTTTCATACTAAATTTTTTACGCAATGAGTAAAGTTTTGGTTTTCGAACAGCGAAAACTACAATATTCTATTCCTAACCGTTCAACTAAGTGCACTGTTATCATTTTGCGATAATAGCTTTTAGTTATTTTTTCTTAAATATCTGGAACTCGTACGTTCTTCTGTACATTTACAGCCTATAATTCTTCTAAAGCTGAAGCAATGTGATCTGCTAGAGCTATAATAAGCCCCGATATCAAGATCTTCAGGCGAAGTGAGCAAATTAATGGACAGAGTGTTTGAAATATCTAGGTTATTGGATTTCAACAAAACTTGACTGGGCACTAATGATAAAAAAGAGTATGCAAATAAATAAGACAGATTAGGTAAAAAATTTTCGCTTCAATGGATCCACTCCCCACGAATTAGAGAGAACTCTTTTTTTGTGCAACGTACAACCAATCTTTACCTGGCTTTTCGTTATCTTCCCTCTTTTTACTAAAAAATAACACGCCTATTTAACAAAGTTTTATTATACGTGTTTAAAACGCACCTATTCTAATCTTCATTCGCTCGACCAGTTCTTCGCATATGCTAAGGATGAAATTTCACTTGAACATCGTTGTTTTAGATACGAAGAAAATTTTACGAAGCATTATCTGATAATTTAGACAGCCAGTTTATCCTTGAACGGACTACTCTAACGTTCCTCTTTTTGATATGAGTGAGATATATTTGTTGAAAGATTTTTCAGAAATATTATAATGCTCTTCTATCTTTATTTAAGTCAGAATATATTTATTTACAAATTATCATGTAGATAGAAGATGTTTTTAAGAAATTGTAAAAAATTTATGATGTTTTTGTGATCTGATTTTTCTTTTCTGATTCATGTCCTAGCTAGTCATAGTTGTTAAGAGACGATTCGCGAGAAAAGCGAGTACTTTGCGAAACACGCGTAACATGCAAGAATTTGACATATGATTTTTATTTGATTTTCAGATTCTACAATCAAAATTGGGGTGACGAAAAAAATTGTTCACTTCCAGACTTTATTTTGACCGAGTTACAGAGTTTTCAAAATGAGGTGCATCGAAGAATCACAAAAATGAGCATTCTCTCATATTTTCGATATAACTCCGTCATTTTTTATCTGTTCTGGTCGAGCAATATCTTGTTATTGCTAATACGAGATATTATTAAGCAATATCTGCAACGCACCATTAAACTATAAACTGAATTCTTTTTAAATAAAATAGTTGAAAGCATGTAACTTATGCGTAGAACCGTTCACCATTCCAGCAAGATCATGCCTAAACAAATATAAGAGTTTTTGAGTAAAAGGACGTTACATTTTTTCTGTTGTATGTAATCATGTATAATGTGATATGAGAAGGACATCAGCAACTAATCTAGTGACATGTGATTATTCGTATGATTCTAGTTTATGAAGGGCGAATGATGCCTTGTAGAATCACTTTTGTGCATAAATCACATGTTTTCAAGTATTTTTTTTTAAAAAGAATTCAATTTATATTTTAATGATGTGTTGCATAACACCACCCATGGAAAATGTTTGTAGAGAATTGAGTACACCAAATGTACTCACGTGTCCATATACAAATAAAAGCTCTTTCAAGAAACAAAAATTATGCTAATCACAACGCTTCAAAGCTTTTGTTTTGTTACCAGAAGAAAATAGACTAAACAGAAAACAACATTCGGTTTCTCATCCGTTGTGTTGTTCAACGCTGTTTTGCCTAAAGAACATACACTCATATTGATTAACCGACGTTTGAGCGCCGACAGTTGAGCGCCCCGACATTTGAGTAATAACGACCGTTCAGCACCAAGTGCTCACCCTCATCTCCACTCCCACCCACCCTCACCCGCCCTTACCCTACACAGCCTCACCCTCAGATCTCCAAATAATTCAGTTCATAATCAGACGACAAAAAAATTGTTCTGATCATCGTTATCGAAGTGAATAATCATTCGACTTTTCTGATCGGCAAAAAGTCATAGTGAAAAGTGTCTAATGTCGGAGTCGCTCAAATGTTGGGGTCGCTCAAGTGTCGGGCGCTCAAATGTCGGGCGCTCAAACGTCGGTTGACGACTCATATTCTTGAATAAAGGTAAATTTGGAAGTGTAAATGACTCTATAAAACGGTAAAGATATTATTTGACATCAGTCACTGCAACGATTATTCTATTACAAAAATGTAACTATAGTTTGAATTACTTTTTCAGATCTGTTGAGATCTTGTTATTACGTTTTGTGTATTCCATTTACTTAGGGTTGTCTCAGCGTGGATAATCTTTATGGATTGAAGTTTATAGTTCTCTTGATCAGAGGGTGATCTCCTCTATTTTAATAATCATCACTACTTGATACGGCAAAAAGCCATTGACCGGCGTCACATACGGTCTTAAATTCATTTTGAAACTTAAAAGCTCATAACAAATACCTCATCATACATATTCTGTCTATCATTTGAACAAGTGTTATCACACTCAAATCGTACAGCTCTTTCTACACTAGAAAAAAATAGCAACAATTATGGACATTTGATGTTTGATCGAACGAGAGCACTGTACATTTCTTTCTTGTATTATTTCGTCGACAAGATAATAATTTTTTTTAGATCATTCTCAATTTGTAGAGATTAGCAATGTCCACAAAAATACTTAATGCTAAACCATGGAAAAGTATGTAAACTCTTTTCGCCAACAGATGTCACATCCACATACTATTCACATTTTAGCGTCATTATTTGATTGTTCTTCCGATTGTTCCACATGTTGCTATGGTATGTGTTGCACAGCATTTCTCTTCACTGGAAATGCTAATAAAGTTGATAAGTCTGGTGCATGTACCAATTATTGTGGCTATTGTATATTATGTTTTTGCGAAGCATGTTGTCTCTATCATCGCCCAAAACGACGAGTAATGCGAGAAAAACTTCAACTGGAAGAATCTCCATCTGATTGGATAGCTGCCTGTTTGTGTTCACCATGTGGAGTATGTCAAGAAGCTAGAGAATTAAGAGATACAGGTGAGTGAAAAATCCTTGTCGGAGTAGCTCCTTTGTAGCGAGAATGTGAGACACCTCAAATGGTTAGATCAGTGCTATAAATAACCTTGTTATTTGAACAGTAATCAATATAAAGCAAAGCGTTATTGTGCATATGTGAAGAAATGTAATCGATACTACAACCTAATCATCGTCATCTCGATACCTTTCGTCAAATCAAATTTTTATTCTTTTCTTCATATTTTTTGTCAAATAATCAATTTCACGAGACCCAGTATGGTGGATAACCTATTATTCATACCGGAAATGACCAGGTGTTAGCCGTAGCACTTTTAGTAAAGTCAGTCCCACTGGTAAAAGAAAACAGAAACGGGTTTAGTATTTTTAGTCTTTCACAGCTTTGTAAATAGGCAAGGAAACGGAACAGTGTATTATAAGAAAAAGTTTTTAACTTAAACAAATGTATGATGATTGTGTCTGTTGTGGAGACCGCGTTTGTCGATTTTCCCGATGCCCCTTTGCAGGTATTTTGTTACGGTTGTTTGTTTACGCACGAACATTAAGTCCGATTAAACAACAACACATAAAAAAAATTTCAGTCAGCACTGATACTGGATTTTTTTGTTTTCGCTAATAAACAACAACATTAAATCCGATGCCAAATGTGGGTTTTATACGTAATGCATGTCGGCGTAAATATAAGAAATGGCAAAATAACGAAAAGTTTAGCGCCTGACTAGATGGAATGGATTACTCAGGATCGAATGTTGAAGTCAAATCAGATTGTGATCTAAGTTTCATCAGTAGGAATTAAGCACATGATTCATAGATTTATTTATTTCAGGATGAGTGTATGGATATTTCACAATCAGAAACAGATTTGGCTTCATCAGCGGAAACTAGTTATCAAATGGGGTGGGGCTTCAGATGAGTTTGTGTTTATCCTCACTTAAGTAAAGACGAAGAAACGAAAGGGAAGACTGTGTAGAGACTCTGTAATAGACTGAACAATCTTTTTTTGATTGTGGTGAGTGGTGTGTCTGTGGCAAGACACTGGAAACTCCAGCCTCGAAAGTTCCAGAAGCTGATCATGATTTTGTATTTATGACTAAAAATATCATAATACCCAAAGATAATCGATGCTGTTCTAAACATGTTGAATATTCCCGTCTTGCAGCTGAATCGACTAATCAAATTACAGCGTACAAAACAGATATGGTCACTTTTACATCATCTGAAATAAGAGAATAGTGATAATAAATAATAAGAGTAAATAAGTGATAAAATAAATGAAATAGAATTTGCAGATGACTTAATTAATTATTTCTGCCGTACTGCTGCATCTGTATATGACGAAGGACTAGAGTTGTATTCGTTACACTGTCATTTACATCTGCCGTCAAAAGTATCTCAACATGGTGGTCCTGCATTTTGTTCAGCTTTTTGTTTCGAATCGGCAATTAGATATCTCAAATCTAAAGCACATGGAAGTAGAAATCTAGCATCACAAATTACATACTGGATAGAGTTAGAAAATATTTTACCAACAAAACCATTTTGAGATGTCTCCTCCTTCTCTTCGTGTTAATAGTAAATTAATAAATGATTATTGTCATACATTTATCATAG